TCTCTCTCTCTCTCTCTCTCTCTCATCCAAAACCACAAGCTATGTTTGGCCTACCGGTGCTGTCGATGATCAGGGATAGGGATAACACAATTGACTGTCGATATTATATATGTGTGTTTTGTGTCCATTCAGTCCATTGATATTGTATTTTTATCATGATATAATAAGTTATATAATAATCTGGTTATGCAGTCACTGAGCATATTGTAGACCCATAGCCTTAACCATATCTACTATCACACCTTATGTGGTATGAAATAGGTGTGTATAATATTAATATCTCACCATGGATAAAAAATATTTTGTCATATGTATAAATATGCATATGATTTAGGTGTGGGACAATCTGTGAGAATAACAAGCATTATTATTAACCTGTGTGTCTGTTAAGTTTATATTTTACATTTATTACTTGTTTTGTAAATATTTCGTGTAAAATATTAATTAGTTTTAATTGAATTTTGCAAAAATATCAGCTAGATGCATTTTTGGTTAATATACAATATAGTGTACAGTATTTATATCACGTTGTACCTAATATCTAGAGCACAGGTATTTTGCGTGATATTTGTAATAATTTTTATGCATTTTGTATTGTAGTGAATATCAGATGGAAGAGTAATTGATTTATTAATGTAAAAATATGTAATGTATGTAAAATATGGAGAGGGAGAGAGAGAGAGAGAGAGGGAGAGAGAGAGAGAGAGAGAGAGAGAGAGATTTATTAATGTAAAAATATGTAATGTATGTAAAATATGGAGAGGGAGAGAGAGAGAGGGAGAGAGAGAGAGAGAGAGAGAGAGAGAGAGAGAGAGAGAATTAAACAAAAAAGTTTTTAAATAATTAAAACTTTTATTTAAAATTAAATCAAATATTTGATTTGATTATACAATTGTATATGTAATATTTATAATAATTATACTTATAAATAATAATTATAATATCTATAAAATGTTATTAAAAAATACTTTGTAAAGTTTTTGATTAATAACATTGTAGTAAAACGAGCATGGTCAAGCAGTGCCAGCCTGTGCTTTCTTCTCTGCACGTCTATTATAATAAATACAAACAAATTTTTAATTAGAAATATCTATTATTATATAATAAATAAGAAATAATGATCATATAGTAATTACTTCTCTTTGGCTTTTTGATACTTGTCCTTTAGACCTTGTGTTGTCTCTCTCGCTTTGTCCTTCGCTGCATTATATCCCGTGACCACTTGCTTCTGGATTTTTTTACCAGTATCTTTTATTTTTGTAACAACAGCTAATTAATTATAAATTCAGATTAATTAATAGTGATTTAAATAACCAAGTTCAACTCTACCACCATGGTCCCAATGGGTTAGACATACTTGCGGGTGCAGTGGGCTCATCGCATACGACCAGTTCGGTCACCAATAATATCGTGATCATTATTAACAGGCATTTCGCTGCGAACCACTTATGATGACTATTATTAATGTTTGCCATAATTGGTGTTTATTTGGCCATATTGTTAATGAAACGTGATATTTATTTTATTATATTCTAATTATTAATTATGAGGTGGGGTGTTATGATTAGTGTATTTAACTGCAATTAATTACTCAATTTTATACTAATTGTGTTAGATTTTGTGGTTTACAATATTAATTCTTATAGTATTTTGCATTTTAATCTAGATTTATATATTATACCTATCCAGGGGTTCTACTTTAATAGTAGAAATATTCTATGAATCTTACTAACTAATGATGTTACCTTATTTACCTTTACATCATTTATGTATCCTAATTACAATGAAAATTTTTATGTTACCGAGCTAAAAAAAGTGTACACTATGCATAATTAAATATTTCAAACACAATGATAAAGGCACAGCAGTATTTAATACAACTTATTTAACGTAATTTTATTAGAAATACAAAATAAATAAATAAATATTAAAATACACCGGGCTAACTAGAGCAAAATGATTTACATAGAACATTAAACAGTATAACCAAGCGCTTTTAATGCTTCATAGGTCTCTTTTAGTATTCTATTGATCTTCTCGGGGTCTTTAGGCCTTCCAAACAAGCTATCGTCTTCGCCACCGCCACTCTCCCCGCCCTCAGCCGTGGGCTCAGCTGTTTTAGCCGGTGCTTCAGCCGCTGGGGAGGCCTCCCCTCCCCCCTCGGCTGAAGGCGCCCCTCCCTCTGCGCCCTCATCACGCTTCTCACGGCTTACCGCTGATTGGTCTAGATTAGTTTGATGTATAAACATGGGTTGCATTGTGGTTATTTAGTTTGGTTAATTATTGTATCATGTATGTTTTCTTATAGTTACCTGGCTCGTAGGCCCCGACAATGATGGCCAGCGCGCACACTATCGTGAATAGCGTATATAATTTAATGCCTGATTTAATGGCAGCCATTATATTGTTTTATTTGTTGTAATTAAGTTAAATGG